CACTGTTGTTGATACAAAATCATGAATGATAAATTGTTTTCTTGTCGTCTTTCTTCATCATTGGCATATTCAATAAAATCAAATTAAATTATTAAAAAAATAAAATATTCTAAATAATTATAAGTTCACGTAAATTTGAGGAACACTTTCCTGAGATTTTGTTTTCATCAATCATTCTGATAATAAGTGTCAGTCGCAATAAAAAATATATTCCAGTTCAACGATAGAACATTTGGTAAACACAAACTCCATTATAGAGACAATATTTCTTCTCTTTGTAATTTTATGATCATTCTTGTATTGGTACTAGTCATTACAACTCAACTATTGTTCCGTTTCAATCGAAACAGAAATTTTCATACTCTGGAAGTTATCAAAATTGAATCAAAGAATAAAAGTAAAAAATCATTTTATTATGAATATATAAAGAATGATTTATTACATATTATAAGAAAATATAAATCTTCTCAATTACAACACCAATCAAGATGATTTAATTTATAGAGATCATTATCGTTAAAATATAAATACTTCTTCATTATTAACTAATCAACATCTTAAAACGAGATAAGTAGCAGTCGTCAACGAAAAAGTATTACTACTTAGGCCTTCACCAATAATTGGATCGAACTATTCACAGGAGCCTGTGTGCTCGCAATCACCTTAATAGCATTTCCTTGAATAATTGCAGCTAGTTTAGCAAGTTGATTTTTATGTAGACTATCCACAATTAATCAGTTGATGAAAGTTCAAATACACCAACGTTTGATTCTATCTTGCACTCTTTCATGTCAGTCATTATTGAGTTTAAGAGCAATGAATGGAATGAAGCAAGTTTATGTTGACTTTATAATATCTTCGTTGGAGACAAAATCCAACAAAATAAAAACCTCGACGACTGTCATTCTAGCCGTTAGTTAATCCATACATAAGAAGATGATGTATTGCTGACAATTCAGTAACTTCTTCAGGTGAGTCAAAATTTGATGAAATCTGTATGACATCAGCACACGATTATGCAAGAATAACGTCATCTGTATATCAGCTACTTTGAAATGTGCTACTATGACCATTGTTTTATTGGATCTCATCCACATTCACAACATAATTACTTCAATTACATGAATAATTCATTGATAACCAATATTACGTGATTTTCAGAATGTCTCGTGTTTTGAGCTACCATCAATGAGAACGTAATATTGCATTGAAAAGTACACTTTTTTGTGCAAGTATACATCGTCTCGATATGCTGCGAGTATCATTTTGTAGATATATCGTAATATTCTATTAAAAACCAAGTGGTTGAGTGATAGCAGATATTTTTGATCTTTTACGCGATAACAACAGTTTGTATACCATAAGTCAGGACCAGGAAAATAGATATCATTTGGCATATGAGAAACAAAAGCTGAATCCCAATTTCTTTGAAATGAACAAAGACTACGAATCCATTGGTACTATATAACGACTACAATCATTACGTGCCAAAATAGCATGTGTTACATTTGTCATGTCAATTATTGAAATTGTTTTCGACTCTTATTGTCCTTACAACAAAATAATTCAATAACTTTCATGATTTAATACATTTGTTTTAACCGAACTTGATTTATATATTGACATAAAGATAATAAGCTTAGTCAAATATACACTAATCATACCTTGGATGCTCTATATGCCAAAACACATACTCTTATTACTACATGTTAAATATGATCATATTCTCATTCATAGTAACTGATCGTAATGTCTTCGAATTTTGCGAAACACATTACGTTGCAATCTATATTCTAGATCGATTATATATTATAACGCATGAGAAACGTGCTACGCTCATTACGTTGCTAATTCTAATCATTTTCTTTCGTTCTGTTGTTTCTTCTTATGTCTATATCATGAGTGTTTCTTTTCTGTTTTGTTATCACTTACGACGAAATGTAAATGAAGGTAAAACGCTTTTTTTTATCTTACGGCCCATCGACTACTCATTCATTTACAGATGAAAAAACCATAGACAGATGATTTTGTTTTTTCTCCGAAGATGGTGTATATAAAATACTTGTCTAAATGACATTATTCGAATTATAACTCTGTTCACTTCAGATTTTAATATAATTTATTATAGAGAACAAGAAAATATGACTACCAATCATCAGGAACTTAATGATAAAAACAGCAGACTAGCTGAATTGAAAGTTATCTCTGGATCTTCTGCTATATTGCATTTTGCTGGTCGTCATATTCCGGCTGCTATAGGTAGAAGTGGTGTGCATGCAGATAAACACGAAGGTGACGGAAGTACTCCATCAGGTTTACTACCTTTACGACGCGTATTATATCGTTCTGATCGTCTTGATCCACCTAATACTTCCCTTACATGTGAACCACTGATTGAAAATGACGGTTGGTGTGATGATGCCGTACATCCAGATTACAATCACCAAATTCGTCTACCACATCCTGGTAGTCATGAAAGATTGTGGTTAGAAAATCATTTGTATGATATAATTGGTATACTCGGTTATAACGATGATCCAGTAATAGCTGGCCGAGGTTCGGCTATTTTTCTTCACATAGCACATCCAGATATGCGACCGACTGATGGTTGTATTGCTCTATCTTTAGATGATCTTCGTTGGGTGCTCGAACAAGGCCTTCAAGTTATTTTTGTTCCGAACTAATTACATAATTTTTCTTCTGTTTCCGACTACGCTTATCATTGTTAGTCGATCATTTGTAGATATTAAAAGTTTTCTATGCTTATTTGTGATTTTAGTGTTCTTCATTTTTTTCTTATGAACATCATGAGTAGTTGACTATAGTAATCGATGATAGAAAAGTCCGTTGGTTAATTTAATTGTCGAAAACAGCAGAATAAAAATCAGCTACCGTTGCAATACAACTTAGCTGAACTGATCTGAGATGAACTGATTTTAGAAAGTCTGAACCAAATAAAACTCTGTCTATTGAATACACCAAAAAAAGTAGTCATGCATTAAGTTATCGGTCAACATCATATTTATATTTAAATTGTTTTAATGATGATTGCAAAAATATATTTTTCATTTAAATATCATAGATGAATTTTTTTCCGATTGATTACTAAATGCAACAAATTGAATTTATTTCTTAAGTTTTATAAAGTCTCTATTTGATTTTTTCTGTTGGTTTACTACCGGCAAGATAATATCAAGTGAATAATTGATTTATTTTTTCATATTTCAGCAACATTTGAAACACATTCATCTGTAATATTATTATAATTATAATTAAAATAAAAATGTAGTAAATCATGATTCGATTGCATTTTATCAGAGTCTTTCTATATCATCGTACCATTAACTTTATAGATTTTATAGAAATTTGATTTATGCTCTTATATAAACGTGGTACTTCATTCGATTCTCAAGACATTACAATTAAACAGAGATATATCTCTACAACTGTCGTATTTCTTATAAATATATGAGCAGATCATATAATACTCATGCCTTCTAAAATATTACAACGAATACAATAATATTTGCTTTTTTTCCATATTCTTTGATGTCACATGTGTTGTTTCATTTTTTTTGTATTATTACCATTTCGATTCGATGAAGAGTAGAGCTCTGTTAATGTTTCATTCAGAGATCAAATATAAGCTCTGATTTGATTACTTTTTAGAGTCATATATTGTAAAGATATTTTTTGATTGCAACGTATGACTTTATAAAAGTGCATCATTGGTAAATGACTTATTTGAAAACTTTTTCAGTTATAAAGAACTAAAGAAAAAATCCGACAATAGTATCAACATTTGTAAGTTTTATTCTAGCTTTGCACTACTGATCTAGTGTCAAAGTACTTTAGTATTTAACTCTACTCCATCTATGTAAATGCTTTTTCATATGGGAAAGATTCTGCATACATAGAGATAAATATAAGCCGATGCATTAATTGGCAGCGACAGTAGCTGAAAGTTCTCGATGTTTTTTTCATAAAAACTTTCTTAGTTTTGAGAAACTTTGAAATGAAAAAGAAGGAAAATAATGGTAGAGAATGTACAGATAAGAAATGAGACAAGAACAGTCTTGAAAATTAATCCTGAATATCGACATTTTTTAAAAATCTACAATCTGGTTCTCATGTTGCGATGGCAGTGGCTAAATTTTCCAGCAAATAGTTACGGCAACAGTGGTGATGCGACTGAATCATTGAAGTATTGGTGGCAGCGGCAGCTCAGCTAATCAGCTTACACCTCAATCGTTCTACGCATCACATCTCTCGGAGTATATCCTTAAATATATAATTATACAATCTTTCCAATTTTCCTATAATTTACATACAAAAACTTCAGCACATTGATTTAAAAAAATAAATCAAATATTTTATTTTCAAATGAGATGTTTATTGAAACTTTGGATTTATTCTACTAGACCAGGGCTGGCCCGACGCCCCCCCCCCAACTTTTGAAAAGTTTTTCTTTTTTCTCTGCAGAAGCGCGATGGAATTTTTTTCGGTCTTCGTCAAAAGTCTTATCTAAACACCTACTACATTTGTGACGATAAAAAAAAGATTTTTTACTAAAGCTACGAAAAAAAAATTTTCGAACCCCCCCCAAATTTCCATGGTTCGGGCCAGCCCCGTGCTAGACTGTAGGCAAACAGTAAAAAGTGGTTTAGATTATAGGTAAATATTAATTTTTCTTTCAAAAAAGTGACAAACAAGTTTTACTGTAGAACTATAGAGAAAAAAAATACCATACCTGTAAAAGCATATCTCACCATATTAAAAAAATATTGGCCTTATCATTACAGATAACGAATGCAAGAAGTAGTGAAAAAAGAAAAAAAAAAACATCATCTACCTTTAACATAATAAATAACATTATAGATTCATTATATTTTTTACCAACATAGTAGAGTTTATTTGTGTCAGTCAAGCATAAATATTACTATATATTTTTTTCAATCGAATATTCAATATCATTCATTAATTCTTTACATACAAAACACATGGATAAAATAGAGAATTATCGAACAGCAACACTTCAAAGAAAGAAAGGTGAAACCTTCGGATTTTCGCTTGGTCGCGCAATTGGTAAGAATTGATACGATTATAAAATACGAAATGATATATTTTATTTTAGAGGATGGTGTTGAGTTTCGACTCGATGAAGGTTTACCGACTTTACATAAAATTATGAACGTATTAAAAAATGGCTACGCTCATAAAGCTTCGTTGCGCAATGATGATCGTTTGATTGAAGTGATAGAACTAAAATTTATCATAGTTTTTATCAAATTTTGTACTTTTTTTTATAGATCAATGGACAAGACGTGAAATCCAAATCTTTTGTAGAATGTGTACGACTCCTTCAAAACACTGGAGATACAGTAACAATCAAAGTAATTCGTTTGTCTGGAGAAAATACGATTAGCCTATCTGTTCAACCATCGATTATAATTACTGGTATGTTATGCACTGATCTATTGCTTCTAAGTAAAATATAAAAACAAAAAAAATAAAAGTAAAATTTAAAGATTCCTATTCAGAAGCTGTTGCATGGAGCGTGCACATTTACCTGAATCGAAAATTCTAAATTCCATTAACAGATATTATCGATGAAGCAGTCATATGTGTTGTCGTAGGCACTTCCAGTGATTGAAATGAAAAATACTAAACGCCTAATGAACACTTGATTCTATTCGGTACTTTCACGCTTTATTTTAGCTACAAACTATTTTCCATGCTACTAGAATCAAATTAAACAGAGAATTCATCATATTAAATTGATTCCTTGGAAATTGAATCTCATGCTATCTATTAGTTTGTTCGAAGCTAAATTCATTTTCTAATCACTTAGATACAATTTTTAATGGTGATAATGATCATAATCGATATAATAGGCTTAATGAGCATAATGGTAAATTTAGGGATCTTCTAGTAGTTCAGGTACTTAAGTGGCATGCCTTATGAATGTATTTCTGCTCTAAGCCTCAGTCAATTGAAGCGCCATGTATGCTGTTTTTGTGCTAAGAATTCGTGAGTGTGTAGATGTTATCTTTAACAATCCACAAGTGCATCTGCACTCCCATTGTAACCATGAAAATACTAGTATGATCTTTTTCTTCAAAAAGCAGTCATCAGAGATTTGCCGTGGCCTCGTTTCCTAGCAATTCATATACTACGTCATATGAAAAATTGAAATGTGATCATGATATGTTGTATAAGTATGGGAGCTTAATACCATTGATCAATATTTTTCTCAGCGCTTTTGTTTCTTATAGTCCGTGCCAAAATTACAGTGTTCATGAGAAAGCTATCTCATGGTATATTGATACAAGAGCCACTAGCGCGCTTTTAAATTAGGTAGATTTATCCATCCCTTAGACTGTTCTTTCGATTGGATATAATACATTCCAACTGAATCGAAAGAAAGCTTCAGTTTAGACGAATCAGTCCACGTTCCAATTTATACTCGAAAGAGAACAAAGTGTTGATACTCATAAGTAGGTTTCGATTAGGCTAAGATTTCTTCAAATATCCTAAAAATAAACAAGTAGTTTGACAGTTGAAAATCTTTGCTGATTTTCAATATATCTTGCAAGAATTTACTATTGTCTATTCTTCAGCTGAACGTAGTGCAGAAAAACAAAATCTTAACATCAATATTCCTGACTTTTTAAAACCAAATCGTTGCATATATTCTATCAAAGTTGATTATAATGATTCTTCAATTATTCAATGCTTCGAAATTCTTAAACCCTATTGTCAAAATCTAGAAGGTTTAGTGCATCCCACATTTAATACTATTGCTAATGAGCCACTCGATGCCAATATACTTTCTCAAATTTTAAGCAATCAAATATCACCAGCTGAAACTTTAACTGCATACGTCGTTGATAGTCTTAAACGACATCATGCTCTCAATGATATAGTCGTTCTTCTATCTGAAGCTCTTGAGTCATTAGTTGAATCTGGCACCGGCAATAAATATGAAATACTCGTCGATCAACTCACCAAAAGAATGTTACTTGTTCAGACTCTTGAAAATATGTCTTATGATAGTCAACGTTTTCTATGTAATTTCATTCGGAAAAATGATTTACCTATTCCATTGTCATATCAATTTTGGAATTCAACAGAAAAAACAATGTAGTAAGTATTTTAGAAACTTTTCTTATTTTATTATTAAAGTGATTAAATTTTATCATAACTTATATAAAATTCTTGATCTTTCATTCGATATTGAAAATAACTAAATGAATATTTTCGAGTTCAATCATTCTCAAAATTTATCAACAACCGTGTCGATCTGAATAATTTCATTCGATAATTGAGTTTTTCTATGAAGTAATCACATACCTGTAAATTATTGTTTATTCTTGTAGTCATCGAATCAATTTTAATTGTCTGATGGAAACATTGTGCGTCACTGATCTTCATGTAGTTTTACAATTTGGTAGTCCATCGGCTTCTGGTTTAGGCAAAACAAGTCTCATTGGATATTTATTTAATGATAAACGTCGTGAGTCTTTCTTTACTGATACAGCTGATTGTTCATGGCGAGATGGTTGTGTCGACGTTCTCTTCGCTGATCAATTTACTATTTTCGATGTACATGGTAAAGCAACAGATACTAGGTTGATTCGATCAATTCAACCTTACACTTATGTTCAAATTATTTATGTTACTGAAGAAGATCTAAATGGAGATTTCTTAGAATCAAATGTTATGAAAGTTGTTCCAAATATTCAAACTATTGTAGTTGTTTTTGATCGTAATTATGATGATGTTGAATTATCAATGAAACTTATTAAACATTTTAAAGACAAATTCACACAATGGACTAATATACAATGGACATCGGCACCCATGTTCAATACATACAATAGTCTACCAACACGTAAGATAGCACAACGAAATAAGCGTTTACGTGAAAAATTCGATCAATTATTAAAACGAATTAAATCATATGTGCAAGAACCATTATTTCGAAGTTGTTTCCAAATTCAATCATCCTTCTATGAAAGTAACTATTTGAAGCAATTCGAATGATTGATGAGATATTTTCTTGTATTTTAGAAAACTCAAATCTAACACCAATCAAACTTGTGTTCGAAATTGAAACTGAACTTGATCATCTTTTCTCACAACTTTCTGATAAAACAGAAAATCTTCTTCTTGTTACACCCATCAGTTATCAAAAATCACAAATTAAAGTATCAAATACATCATCGTATGAATCGCGACAACTTGAAAGAATTGTATCAAATCTTACAGTAAATGATGTTTCTCGAAGTATTCAAACATCTAGTATAATCAATAAATATCATGCATTTACCATTTCATTATTGAATCATCGAACTTATATCGAATTACTTATTGTCGAAGCTTATTTAGAAAAATGGCGAGCAGCTTATGTGCCAAGTTTGCGTAACAAACAGGAACAGTTACGTGAAAATGCTTCAGCAATTTTACGACAGTTAAAACACGCTGAACGAGAAAATGCAACATCATCTGAAGCAACGGATTTATGTCAGCAATATGAAATGTTACTTAATCAACTGAGAAATGTCGATAGTTGTTTAATGAATGTTGATTTAACATTTGGTTTATTTTGTGATGAACTATTTGCTTTATGGGATCATATTCATAGAACACAAACATCAAGTAAAATAAAAAATCTTCAAAACAAATTCAATCTTGTTGCCACGAAATTAGCCGAACTTGTTTACAAAGGTTTTGCTTTACATATTCTTCGTGGTCGACCTTTACAAAGTCATAGTCGATTGTTAAAAATGTGCATGGAAAAATTGAATTTGGGAGATTCTGTGAGTATTCTAACTGTTGTTGGAGAACAATCATCGGCTAAGTCATCTTTACTGAATTCAACATTTGGATGCAATTTTCGTGTTAGTGCTGGACGTTGCACCCTTGGATTATATCTAGGTATGAAATTCATGTGGGTCTCCCTTTCATTCACCTGTGCTCATATTGATATCACCTCTCACTAATCTGTCTTTCCTCGTTATCTTATCTCTATTGTTCTTTTCTATGTTCATCTCTCTCCTCTATAAGCGTGTATTATATGTGAAGTAGTCACATTCTGGAAATATGAAGTACCTCAATGAACATCATTATCGAGAATGGCGATCAATCACTCATTCAGTTCGTCGTTACACCACCCACCACTCCTACTCTCGAGATACTATACAATATCGTTCTATAGCTGTTGTTCTTGAACAAAATGAAGCTTTTATCAAATAAACTAATTAAACTTATGATTATTTTTAGGTCTTGCATATTATAAAAATATGACTATTATAATTTTGGATACTGAAGGACTCATGTCATTAGAAGAATCAGGATCAATATTTGATAATCAAATGGTGACAATGGCTGTACTTTCCTCCAATCTTGTACTTATCAATCATAAAGGTGAAATAAGTTCGAGTCTTGAAGGTCTGATTGGTATGAGTTTGTATGCTAAAATTCAAATTCAAAGTTCACCCTTCAAACCAAAACTTTTGTTTGTTTTACGTGATCAAACTCAACGAGACATGAAAATTTTTCAACAACAACTTAATAGATTAAAGGATAATATTCAAAGAAATGGACAATTTCTACAAATGTCTATTGATGATGAACTTGAAATGAAACATATTATTCTTATGCCTGGAGCATTTACAGAAGATACTAATCGTGATTATGGTATTGTACAAAAATGGCGTACGGAAACATTCTCTATGGAAATTAATAAACTTCGTACGAATGTATTCAAATGTCTTGAAGAACAAATAAATGAAAAAGTAAATATGAATTTTACTCAACGAAATTTGTCGAATTCTATAAATTCACGCAAAAACGTTGATGCTTACTTCTACTCGAAGTTAACAACAAATTGGAAATCAATTGATGATCTTGGGAAAGGCTTACTTCAATGTCAGAGTCTATATGAATTAAGTGTTCAAAATGAACTTAAATCTATTGCTGCCAATATTATTGTTGAACGACAAAATCAACTACAAAGAATAGGAAGTGATTTAATTGAAAAATTGATTAAAGAAAAGGATCAACTGATGAATACGAATTTAGATACAAGCAAAAACTTAAAACCACATTTGTGGCTTCAACAAATTGTCCAAGAAGGAACTATAAACTTAAGCAAACTTATTAATGAACATGCTGAAAATGCTTTAAAAGATTATGAAGAACAAACACAACATAGTTACTTTAAACATATAAAAAAATATGAAAAAACAATTCAAGCTAGTATTAAAAATATGCAACAATATTTATATGAACACCTTGAAATGCGTGTTTTAGAAATGACATTAAAAACAATACAAGATTATTATCGACGAGAATTATTGAATATAAAAGTAACCATAAAAACATCTAATGAATTTCCTATGCGATTAAATCAACGTGTTCAAGAGCTCAAAATTGAAATCACTGATAGTCTTCAAGCATATAAAAGAAGTAAAAAAACTATTATTAAATCTGCTTTAGATGTATACAAGAATGTTATTCGAACTAAAAATGAAAATAAATATCGTAATAATACTTATAATCTATGTCCACTACTTGACTATAACAAATATCTTGAAATTATTCAAGAACTTGATATCATCATTAATAAATATGTACATAAATACGTTGAACAGAATGGACGTAGTAATTCATCACAAGCAACTATTACTCCTCGATCACCTTTCATGACAGCTACGAATATATCACCTTTTGCTTTTCCACTTGAAGATCAAAATGTATTTCATTGGTTGAATAATTTCAATGCATCGAGTAAGAATCAACAAACAATACATTTCGTTTTTAGTGTACTACTTAATCTAATTAACGATCGACTTGATATCTCTCCTTTACATTTGGCATATTCAGATCCAAAAATGATCGATGACCTTATTGAAATAATCAATTGTGAACTTCGTTCAGCTAAATTAGATTTTAGTCATATTAATAGACCTGCATTGATTCGTGATCTTATTATTTTTACCTTATATATGCTTGTTGAAAAAACAAATCAACGATTTGAATTAAAAACAAAACAATTATTAACTGAAACATTTAATCATCTTGAACAAGTGAAAGAAAATCTTCTTGAACAAATGAATAAAGATAAAAAAACAAATAATCAAGCTAACCTATTTCGTCGTATAATTGGAAAAGAAATTATTTATGAATTAGGACGAATAAATCGACAAAAATTAATTGAAGAGATTCGTACAAAACTTAATGAATATTATTCAATCAATCCAACTGATATTACTCGACAAATTTATTCTGAAAGTATTGCTTCACAACCAATTAAACCATTATCTATATTGAAGTTTGTCTCAGATCCAAGTTATTTTTGCTGGCAACATATTTATTTGATAACCAAGAGTTTTTCTCAAGAATTGATTCATCTGTATTCAGATGATATTACTACAACATTAACTGCATATATGTTATTGATTATGGACGTAGTCTTGAACAGCGAATGTACTGACACTCATGTACTACACAATCAAGTACTTCAACAAGTTAGTTATACAATTTATTGAGAATAAGATTTATCATTACTTCATTTTATGAATACTTAAATTTTATCTGTTAAAATTGGTTCATTCATTCATGTTTCCATTCGAATAGCCCGAGAAAAGTTAAAAGTATGAGTTAAATTATTCAATCAATCTTTACCCGAGATATTTTCATTTTTTAATAAGTTTATCAAAATTTTCATAGTATTTTTATATTTAAATATATAGAAGAAATTTAAAAAATTCGGTGCTAATTTCTTTTTTGTATTCTATTAGATTGTTTCTGCAATACCCGACTTCCAAGCTTCACGTAAAATTGAAATCGAACGAATAATTGAAAATCCTGATCAATTTCAAGAATATTTTAAAAATCTTGATTTATTTCAAGGCGAAATGGATAATGTTCTATTACAAGAATTGGCTAAAGTTCGAGAGGAATTTAGTCAAGCAGTAATTCCTGAATGTTTTGAAACATTATTCTATCAATTAATTGGTTGTACATCACGTTGTCCTGGTTGTGGTATCAAATGTGAATTACCAGCTAAAATTGATCCTTCGGAAGAACATCATCATTGTAGTCAACATCATCTTCCTATGGCTTTTAATGGATGGTCTCGTAATAAACAACTTCATCCGCATTTATCTATGTGCTATCAACAGTGGAAAACTAAAACATTGTTTCGAGATGATAATTCAATGTCTAGTCCCGAAGAATTTTTTTCATCGGAAGCATCTGATTGGTATAAAGATGTTAAGAAGAAAAGTGAAACAGGAGAAGCCTGTTCTGAGCAATACCCTCTAATTGAACAACGTCGTGCATGGATGGCTGTGCGCTATAAATTGCTCAAAGAATTTGAACTACAAGATCCAGAAAACTATCATTCCGGTATTTATCCAACAACTATTGTGAGTGTGCCAAACAATATTGAAGTATTATGGGAATCATTGTGATCTTTTTTTCTAAATAATTTCAATATACTATTTGAATAAAATTTTATGAGAAAAATAAATAAATAAGAAAACCAACGAATGGTCCATAACGAATGGCTAGTTTTGTATTTCTTTTTGTTTATCATCTAGTATCTTTATTTTAAAAACAAAATATATTAGAAGATGCAGCGTAAACAGTTCTAGAAGGTGTGTTAAAAACCTTATTCTATATATGCACTCTTTGTTTTCAAAATAGACAAAATTCTGTACGACCAATTTTCGATGCTGAGAATGAGATTGTTCATTAGTACTACGACAAATTCCTTTTCTTATTTCATTGAATATACATTAGTGGACAAAAGTCTTTCTCCCATCCTTTTTTTTATAAAGCTTTAATATTTACTTTCTTTTTATTATCGAACTAATATAGCACATAAATACAGGTCTAAATAATAGTTCTTCTCCATTCTTTTTCTTCTTATTTGCTGATTCGGATGACTCAACCTTATGTAACAATTGTTAATGTGTAAAATGTGGACCGATACTGAGAATAGTGTTTTCTTCATTCTTTCGCAAAACTTTAAACACACCACTATCTCTATCACAGCACTATGAGATTGTGTGTTTGAAGCTATAGCCTCTGGGCCCTAAAATGTCAAATAAAGCTACTTCAAAGCACATTGGGTGTGAACCAAAAGTCGTACGGCCTTCGCTTGCTAGATGGCAACAAAATGAAGATCTATCGAATTTGCCAAAGACTGGACGAGCACATGCCGTGTCGAAGACAACGGATAAAAAGATTGTTAATATTACCAAACGTGAGCTGAACGTTACATCAAACAACGTTTCAGAAACTCTAAAAGAGGACGATGGGATATTGATCCAAGTACTGTTAGACATCGATTACGAGAAAGTGAAGGAAGTTATGGTCCACCTTTAAAAAAGTCTTTATTAATAGACAAACATCTTGAGAAACAATTCATCTGGATTCGATAGCACCAAAACTTCAATTGGGACAATATAATTTTTACCGATGAGAATATTTTAAAACTTGACAATAGTGGAAGAAAAGTTTGACGGTTTGCAGATGTGGCAAAAATTGTTCGTACTGTTAAATATCCTCTTAAGCTGCACGTCTGAGGATATGTTTCAAAACAAGGTTTCGAGTAATTAATTACTTTCAAACATAATTTGACACGAGAGTTTATGCGTGACATATATGAGAATGGTCTTCTGCCTACTGCTCATCGTCAATTCTCTGAAGGTTCAACTAACTATATCGTCCAACCGAACAATGATCCTAAACACAGATTCCGTCTAGCAATCGGTCGAAAAGATCGACAATCGAATACAGGTGCTGTCTTGGATCTCTTCGTTACCGGATCAAAATCCTATTGAAAACGTTTGATCAATAATGAAGGATACAATAAGCGAAAAGAAAAGTTCAAACAATTTAAGAGTTCGAACAAGAAATAAGAAAGACATGGAAAGCACTCTCAAATAACTTGGCTGCCAAATTGGTCAGTAGCATGGAAAGACGAGTGCAGTATTTAATTGAGGCTAATGGTGACTACAAATCATAGTAAAATGAAATGTTCTTGTTATACTTTAGTTCGATAATAAAAAGAAAGCAAATATTGAAAACTGAGATAAAAAGGGAGGAGGAAAGACTTTTGCCCACAGATGTAATTGACGATAACATCTTACACATAATAATCCAAAACGTCGAGATCGGAACTGTTTCGTGGTCATCTGTAATTTTTATGAAGTGTATGAAATTCTCTTTACATTACGCCAATGATTTCTGATGCGTATGCGATGTGGTGTTGCCCCATTGGTAGATGAAACTATCACCAAGTAGACGTTGACCTTCAGCTTGTGCACGAGGAAGAACAACTTCAATATAATTCTCATGAGATAATCTTTCACCAGGTTTAAATATAATTCGAGACGTAAGACCATTTTCAGAAGTTCCTAACCACATTATAATTCTTTTTGAATATTTAGTCTTTTGGTTTATGTCTCTTCGTTCGTCTGCCTCTTGTCAATTTGGAGCACAAATACGTTCTAATGAGAAATATTTTTTGTCAGTGAATAGAATTGTCTTTTGTTGATGAGACAAAAAAAAGAGGATTGATCGTTTACTAAAAAATGATTATGTTTGCAGCGTCGAAAATTGATCACACAGAATTTTGTCTCGTTTGAAAACAAAATGCGCATATATAAAATAAGGTTTTGTAATGCACCTTGTAAAGTTGTTCACGTTGCGCCTTAAAGTTTATTTCTTTTTTTAAAATAACCATACAAGATGATACAAAAAAAACTGGCCATTCATTATGCATCACTCGTTATTTGAACAGTTTGATTTTAATTATCTATTTACTAAGAATTATGGACTGGTTCCAGCAGGAAAGTTCAGAAAATCAATGGAACTTGAAAGCGGTATTCTAGACCGAAAAGCCCCCAGACTTTTTCGGTGACTCACAGTGAACTTTCTGCTCTTTTCGGCAGAAAACAACTGTAAACTGTCGGAAAAGATCCTGAGACTTTCCAGTCCAGAATACGGTTTCATGTTTCATCGATACCCAGTGTTTTCCTATCAGATACCATGATTTTTCTCACAGTTTTTCGACTGATTCCAGAGAAATGCGATTGTTTCTGAAGCTTGAAATCATTGACCTGGAATGACTTCTTTTGAATGAAGTTATCTTTTTTTCTAGAAAACATTACATGATGAAACAAATAAGTATGATGATTATTATAGCACCAATCAATGGTACCATATTAGATTGTTCATGACATCGTATATGTCTGTTTATCTTAATCGTGATCGGCTTCGTAATTAGTATCTTTCAGGAAAACCATAAAGATCGCACCAGATCCTTAGTTCATCCGGCTTTTTCACTTGTCGGATCCGACTATTGGAAATCATCAAATCCAATAGCTGACAACTTCGTATCGAAATTCTCTAACAAGGATTCTGGCAATGTTCAATTGGGCTTCATCAGCAGTTATTCGATTATTTCAGGAGTTCTATAGTGTCCGAGTCTAGAACCCTTCGTCTTCTGATGTCTTTTACGTTATGTAGACAAACTACTACATAAAAACGATCACAGTAGATAAACAGACATAAGATAAAAGTAGTTGCGCACATCTCAAAAGATAAATTTTGTTCTTTTGTAGTAATATCTTTCGTATCAACTACAAAGTAAGATGCGCGCATATAACTTTTTTTTATAACTATTCTCTTAGACTTGAGACAAGCTGTTTATGAAACATAAGACGTTTGTATTTATATTATTGAGCTATACTTTGAACATCAATTGACAAATTACGTCGAAAAGGAAATCAATCTTGATTAAGTTAACAAAATATTTATCGTATCGATCCAAATGTTATTTTAAATATCACATCAAATCGAACTTATAGCATCAAATATCAAACGAATAATCAAAGAAATGATTGCTAAAATACCGTTATATGAACATATAAAGTCCCATAGATGCATAAAAGATCGTTGTAAGTTCTGATTTCGGTAGTCTTTAAACAAATGGAAAATGACATTATTTTATCATGCCAATGCCCAAAAGAATATGCATAAGCAATTCACAGATAATGTCGTCTAATCCATAAACATTCTTTAACATACAATATGTAATAGGAAAACCAGAGGAAATGTAACACCATTTGTTTTTGATTAATTCTTGTTATACAACAACTAATTCTTCGATAAGAAAGAACATTTTTTAAAATATGTATAGTATTTCAAATTATTTACGCTACTAAATTCATTTTTGAAAGATGAATTCGGAAACATAAGGGAAAACTTTCTGTAAAGCTTTAAGAATTCAGAAAAGGACCGTAATAATGCCATTTTTCATATGTACAAATATCTGTGTAATACTTGGAAGGTAAACTAAATTCTTTGTTTATTTTCAATTAAAATAGAATTAGACCAACTATCAACATTGCAATTATTTATACATTTTAGAATGTCACATCAGAAGAGTAACACTTCACAATCGAAAGGCAATTTAACTAAAATATACAAACTTAATGGAAATATTACAAAAGATCGCGTACGTCTTCTGCTCATGATGTATAATGAACAGAAAAGAGGAGTAACAATTAACAAAAAGAAGAGCATTGATATGGAAAATTTACGTTTACGCCTTAATAAGTTGATACTAATGCGAAATGACGAAGTAATGAGAGTTTATTCCAACGTGAAGATAAGTAGAACCATTTCACCATTACCACCAACACCACTGCCACGACGCCCATCACCACTGGATACATCACAGGAACCATCATCACCCAATGTATCACCGAAATTATCACCACGCAATCCATCACCGAAACCATCATCATCGGTTCCTCCTCTCCGCATAGCAAATATTCTCATT